TTTTATTATTTTATTTTTAAAATTAATTATTATTACATTTTCTCCCCCTTGTTTGTTTTCTGCACATCTTCAGGAAGCCCTCGGTGCTTGTGCAAAGAGAAGCTCCTATTGCAACCTCCCTCCCTGCGCTGTGCGCCTCGGTGTAAACATTTTGGATGATCTAAAGACTCTGGGGTCTGTATATGGAAATAGTGGGGTGCAGAGCAGAAGAAAATACTTGTCCTTTCCGTCCCCCAGCCATGCTTTTCCACGGGATCTCCGGAGGCCATATCCAAGGAATCATGGAGGAGATGGAGAGGCGATCCAAGACCGAGTCCCGCCTGGCCAAAGGGGGACAGATGAACGGCCGAGAAACGGTAAGAAAGGAGCTGGCACTCTTTGAAAGGGAATCCTTGCAAACATGGACCCGCAACGGGACAGAGCCTGGCTTTGGGGAAGAGAAAGGCGCTGCTTGCCCTGCCCCTCTCCCCACCACCCCTTGCTTGTAGAGACCCTTCCGAGGCTCCCTGTAAACCCACCCGTAATGCTGGGTGCTGTGCTGGCCAGGCTTAGTTCTACATTTCTCTAATCAATGTCGTTGCGTGTGCTCTCTGGAGTAACGGGGAAAAATATTTTAACTCGTAACAGGGACGGTTTTTCAGCCCTTACAGCGAAGCAGCCTTTTGCCCCTGCTCGGCTCGCTGCGGCCGCTCTGCCCCCTCCGAGCTGGGTTGCAGCTGGAGTTTCTGAGGTGTACTTTACTTTTTTTGCACTCCTGGCACCTCCTAAATTAAACCGCAAACCGCGACCGCTTACTTTTCGTAACTATTTTTGGCCTGAAGTGTGGGATTGATACAAAGAGGCACCGCTCTCTCTGCATGTTATGCCCGCCGACTACTTTGCTTAGCAGTAATGTCTCCTCTTTTATTAGTCAAAAGACCACAATCTTCATGGATGTACTAAGGGGTGGCGGAGAAACCGAGTGTCACGCTGCGTTTTGGGCAAAGCGATATCTCCCTTTCTCCAACTTGTAGGGCTTCCGCCGACCGCGCACAAGGCTCTGCACACAAAGTAACGGCCTGAAAAAATGCTTTAAGGCTTTGAGCCATAGGGTCCTTCCCCCCTTCTCTTAAATAAACTCCCGCTTTGTTATATGAGGATTTGCAATGTAAATTCAACTCGCCTTTTCAATCGCTGCGAAAAAAGGGGGCGAGGAACACAACTTCAGATTGGAAAGTGAATGCGGAGTTGCCACTTTAAAACAGTTGCGACTTTAGAACAAGATGTTCGGTTTTTTTTTTTTTTTTCCCCTGATAGTTTACCAGCAAACGCTGCCCCAAGTTTCACGGCAGAGCTTTTGTCTCCGCCGTCCCTCCGTCTCCCTTTGTCCCGAGCGACTCTCCTCGTGGGGAGCAGATTAATGGGAACTTGCAGAAGTTTGCTGAGGAAAAGATGTTAGTTTTAGCTGAAACCAGCCTGTGCCACCTTTCTGTCCACGTCCCTGGCCGGGGTGGTGAGCGTTCGCGCTCATTGCTCTTTACACCATTCACCTGTCTCCTTTCTCTTACTTCTGTTTTAAATGGCCTGGTTTTGTTTAGAGAGGGGGTTTTGGCTGGTTTAAGCACGGATGAAAATTTACCGGAAAATCGGTGCAAGCCTGCACCCTCTGCCGTGAACTTTTGGTGCAGCAAAACGGTATTTTCCTACTTTAAAATGCCGTTCTTGTGGAGCGCTCAAAGATTAAAACACCAAAGTTAGGGGGAAGCTACAGATTTCAACTTCGGGACCTCAGAAAAGAATGGGCTCTGCTTTTCTTACTGAGGCCTAATCAGTTGCCTTCACATATTGAAATGACATTAGATCGTTAGGAGGGGTTTAATGGGATAAACACGAAAGCTGAACTGCGGTAAATACTTTCCTAGCGGGGATGGTCCCGGTTCCCCCTCAAACTTCCCGCCGGGAGCAGAGAGTTTGGTCCCAGAGAGCAGTCTCTTTGTACAAGCCCCGGGCCCTGCGCAGGACCCCGTCCCCAGCCCGGACCGCCTGCCTGTCTTTCTCTCCCTGTCTCATCCCCTTGTGGTGTGGTTGTTTTGCAGAACATGCCCCCAATGAGCCCCGAGAAGCCTGCTTTGTGTGCTGGTTGTGGAGGGAAGATCTCAGACAGATATTACCTGCTGGCTGTTGACAAACAATGGCACCTCAGGTGTCTTAAGTGCTGTGAATGTAAACTGGCTTTGGAGTCAGAACTCACCTGCTTTGCCAAGGACGGCAGTATTTACTGCAAGGAGGATTACTACAGGTACAGCAATCAGTCCCCATGGGTTCAAAAGCACATCCCCTCACAAGGCATTATGAACCGAAACGCTCTTTTCTCCACATGGGCTTTCAAAGGTAGCTTTTTGCAGTCAGCGATTCCTTAATCCTGTAAACGTGTCCCCTCCAAAAAGTCTCGCACGTTTAAAAACTGAACGGATGGACGGGGGACACGCCAACTGAGCTTGTGTGGCGGTGCACAAACAGGCGAAGGAGAAAACCTCGGGTCTCCCGCTGCTCTGCGGTTTCCCTCCGTAAATACCAGCGTAAGACCCAACAAAAGTTTCCCTCTGCCCGTAGCTTGCCGGTTTTTCCGCGGGCCGGGGAGCGGGCCCCG